GAGGGGCGCGCCGGGCGGCAGCGGGGGTGTGCCGGGCTCGGGCCGGGGGGAGCCGCAGGCGTCGGGCCGGTCGGGCAGGCAGGCGGGCAGGGCCACGAACGCCTCCTCGCTGCCCGGCGGGGCGCTGGGGCTGCCGCTGGACGCCGCCGGTCCTGGGGAGAGAAGAGGGGGGGAGGGTTAAGCCAGGAAGGGAGGGGCCGCGACGGCAGCCCGCGACGCGCAGCGCGCCCTCGCAGAGCCCTCCCCTCCCCAAAATAGAAAGCGCTCCAAGGGGCAAAGGAAAGCCCGGAGTTCCCGGCCCACGTCCTGCGGTGCCGGGCGAAGGCGGCTCCCCTCAGCCGTGGCTCCCCCTCCGCAGAAGCGCTGCCAAAGTCTGTGCGTTGCGCAGCCTGCGGGATCCAAGTGGGAGGGCAGCTGTTCCGCCAGTGCAGAGTCCCGGAGGAGGAGGAGGAGGAGGAGGGGCTGCTGTAGAGGTGTCTCCAGGTGCCCTCCAGCCCTTCCCTCTCTCTTCCTAGGAGATGTGCCAAGCCTGCCATCCGAGGGCACAGCCAGAGGTCCAGGAATTGTGCAGCACCAATTGCAGGGTTTGGTCGAGGCTGGCAGTGGTGCTCCCCCCCCTTCGTTTTAATGCCAAGTGTCCTGCCCCTTTGCACCTGCAACGTCACAACACAGTCCTTGCCCCCCTCCTGTCCTGCAGACCCCTGAGTTCTCCTAGCCTGGCCTGCCCCTGAGCAGCCCCCCTTCTCCTCCTGAATGTGTGGGGAGGGGGACCCAAGGCTGGGAGAAGCAGCTCGGGCCGCCAAAGGAACGGGCCGCCGCCAGGGAGGTGGTCCAACCCAGTCGGGATGTAGGACTCCAGCTCCAGGACCAGAGGCAGCCAGACTGACCAATCACCAGTGAGGAGGAGGACTGGGGAGGGGGCTCTCCTCCATGGCTGCGACCCACCATGCGGGGGAGAGGAGGGTGAACAGGAAGGGAGCACCCTGGGTGCTGCACAGGAATGGCAGCGGCAACGCTGGTAACCCAGAAATAGCCTGTGGGGCAGATAAATCAGAGAGGAGCTGGCAAAAGAGAGGCCTCCAGGTTAAAAATTGCAAAAGATAAGATAAAATGTTAAGATGAGATGAGATGAGAGAAGATAGCACAATGGCACACATCAAAAAATGAAATTTAGTTGCCCGCTCTCAAAGCGAACACATGCACGACACACACCTAAACATACTTCTTTCCACCAAGGGGGTTAAGGGAACGCAGTGGCTGCGAGGCAAAAGCCCTGGCTGCTCGCTGTGGGGTTTTTAGACGAGGACTGGAAGTAAACATTAGTTCCCAAGAAAAACATCCTAAATTGGGGTCATGTGACTATGGATCATTGCAGACACTATTGTTGTTGTTATTGTTGTTGTTGTTATTATTATTATTATTAGTATTATTATTATTAGTATTATTAGTATTATTATTAAGTTGGAAGGGACCTTGGAGGTCATCTAGTCCAACCCCCTGCTCAGGCAGGAAACCCTATATCATTTCAGAAAATTGGCTGTCTCTTCTTAAAAACTTCTAGTGTTGGAGCATTCACCGCTTCTGGAGGCAGGTAGTTCCACTGGTTAATTGTTCTCACTGTCAGGAAGTTTCTCCTTAGTTCCAGGTTGCTTCTCTCCTTGATTAGTTTCCATCCGTTGCTTCTCGTCTTTGCCTTCAGGCGCTTTGGAGAAGAGCTTGACTCCCTCTTCTTTGGGGCAGCCCCTGAGATACTGGAAGATTGCTATCATGTCACCCCTAGTCTGATAAGCATCAGCCAGTTGCCAAGTGCCCAAAATGTGGTCACATGATCATGGGGGGGGGGGCGGGGGAAACAGACCTTTGTAACTTCAGATTTGGATCATAAGTATAGGTAGTTCTTGACTTTGTCCCAAAGATGCTTTTTCAGGAGGCAACTGGACTTTCTTTTTTCTCTTTGAAGACGTTTTGCTTCTCTTCCAAGAAGCTTCTTCAGCTCTGACTGGATGGTGGGGAATGGACCATTTGCCTTCTTTTACAGAATCACTGAGGCTACCTGGAGGTTTATCTGTGTCCTCGGGGGTCACCTGAGTGGTGCAAGGGGGTGTGGAGCCTTCTTGGAGCTGCTGAAAGGATTTGTGTTGTAGACTGGAGAGAGGTGGTGCCCTATCCCTCCCCCTCTGTTGAGAGAGGGCTGTTCAGTTGTGAGCTAGACGGCCTCTTCCGCCCCTCTTTCAAACCAGCGGTCCTCTCTGTCCAGAATGTGGACTTTGCTGTCCTTGAAAGAGCGGCCTTTCTCCTTCAAATGCGGACGGACGGCTGGTCCTGGTGGGCTTCTTCTCCCGTGTTGTGCCATTGCGTTCCTGAAGTCTCTGAGATGACATCCAGTGGGGGCCGTCCCAGACGAGGGAATCCTCTGCCTTAAGTGGCTGGCCGGGAGGCCACATGAAGGATGGAGGAACTGAAGCAAACAGATCTTCCCAGCTACGTTCAGGTGGAAGATCAGCCGGGCGGTTTTTAAGAAGAGATGGACAGCCATTTGTCCGGAATGGTTCAGGGTCTCCCATTTGAGCAGGGAGTTGCACTAGAACAGGGGTCTCCAACCTTGGCCACTTTACGACTTGTGGACTTCAACTCCCAGAATTCCTCAGCCAGCATGGCTGGCTGAGGAATTCTGGGACTTGAAGTCCACAAGTCGTAAAGTGGCCAAGGTTGGAGACCCTTGCACTAGTAGACCTTCAGGGTCCCTTCCAACTCTGTTACTCTGTTAATTGGGAGATGGGGGGAAGCAGAACAAGGGGCCTGCCCTGCCCGCCCACCCAGGGCCAGCTGGAGATGCTCAAGGGCTATCAAAGCATCCATCCCCCCCCCCCAAGGTTTGAGGACAGAACAAACCCTCTGCTAATGGAGCAGATGCCCTGGACAGGCAGAAGACCACCGGTGGGCCTGAGGATTCCACACCAGCCAGCCAAATGGGGAAAACTCAGCTCCCTCCCCCACCCCAAGGGCAACTCCTCATTTACCTCTGTGGCAGCTGGGCCCCTAATAGTGCCGGGTCCGCAGCAGCACAGCCTAACTGGGGAGACATGGCAAATTTCAGGGGATCTAGAACCAAACCCCTTTTGAAAACTCCTCCCACTCTTCTGGGGTCACCTGCCCCTCCCTCTACAAAATTAGGAATGGGGGCCGAGGGGCACAGAGTGGCAAGGGTAGCCAGAAGCTCCCAGTTGTAATTCCATCAGCCCCGTTTTTCCCTGTCGACTGGACAGAAACTGCTGCCCCTGGATCGGGCTCTGCTGACAGGGGNGAGGGGCGCGCCGGGCGGCAGCGGGGGTGTGCCGGGCTCGGGCCGGGGGGAGCCGCAGGCGTCGGGCCGGTCGGGCAGGCAGGCGGGCAGGGCCACGAACGCCTCCTCGCTGCCCGGCGGGGCGCTGGGGCTGCCGCTGGACTCCGCCGGTCCTGGGGAGAGAAGAGGGGGGGAGGGTTAAGCCAGGAAGGGAGGGGCCGCGACGGCAGCCCGAGACGCGCAGCGCGCCCTCGCAGAGCCCTCCCCTCCCCAAAATAGAAAGCGCTCCAAGGGGCAAAGGAAAGCCCGGAGTTCCCGGCCCACGTCCTGCGGTGCCGGGCGAAGGCGGCTCCCCTCAGCCGTGGCTCCCCCTCCGCAGAAGCGGTTGCGCAGCCTGCGGGATCCAAGTGGGAGGGCAGCTGTTCCGCCAGTGCAGAGTCCCGGAGGAGGAGGGGCTGCTGTAGAGGTGTCTCCAAGTGCCCTCCAGCCCTTCCCTCTCTCTTCCTAGGAGATGTGCCAAGCCTGCCATCTGAGGGCACAGCCAGAGGTCCAGGAATTGTGCAGCACCAATTGCAGGGTTTGGTCGAGGCTGGCAGTGGTGCTCCCCCCCCTTCGTTTTAATGCCAAAGTGTCCTGCCCCTTTGCACCTGCAATGTCACAACACACTCCTTGCCCCCCTCCTGTCCTGCAGACCCCTAAGTTCTCCTAGCCTGGCCTGCCCCTGAGCAGCCACCCTTCTCCTCCTGAATGTGTGGGGAGGGGGACCCAAGGCTGGGAGAAGCTGCTCGGGCCGCCAAAGGAACGGGCCGCCGCCAGGGAGGTGGTCCAACCCAGTTGGGATGTAGGACTCCGGCCCCAGGACCAGAGGGAGCCAGACTGACCAATCACCAGTGAGGAGGAGGACTGGGGAGGGGGCTCTCCTCCATGGCTGCGACCCACCATGCGGGAGAGAGGAGGGTGAACAGGAAGGGGGCACCCTGGGTGCTGCACAGGAATGGCAGCGGCAACGCTGGTAACCCAGAAATAGCCTGTGGGGCAGATAAATCAGGGAGGAGCTGGCAAAAGAGAGGCCTCCAGGTTAAAAATTGCAAAAGATAAGATAAAATGATAAGATGAGATGAGATGAGATGAGAGAAGATAGCACAATGGCACACATCAAAAAATGAAATTTAGTTGCCCGCTCTCAAAGTGAACACATACACGACACACACCTAAACATACTTCTTTCGCCACGGGGGTTAAGGGAACGCAGTGGCTGCGAGGCAAAAGCCCTGGCTGCTCGCTGTGGGGTTTTTAGACGAGGACTGGAAGTAAACATTGGTTCCCAAGAAAAACATCCTAAATTGGGGTCATGTGACTATGGATCATTGCAGACACTATTGTTGTTGTTGTTGTTGTTGTTGTTGTTGTTGTTATTATTATTATTAAGTTGGAAGGGACCTTGGAGGTCATCTAGTCCAGTGTTTCTCAACCTTGACAATTTTAAGGCATGTGGACTTCAACTCCCAGAATTCCACAGCCAGCAATGCTTGCTGTGGAATTCTGGGAGTTGAAGTCCACATGCCTTAAAATTGTCAAGGTTGAGAAACACTGATCTAGTCCAACCCCCTGCTCAGGCAGGAAACTCTACACCATTTCGGACAAAGGGCTGTCCAGTCTCTTCTTAAAAACCTCCAGTGTTGGAGCATTCACCACTTCTGGAGGCAGGTTGTTCCACTGGTTAATTGTTCTCACTGTCAGGAAGTTTCTCCTTAGTTCCAGTTTGTTTCTCTCCTTCATTAATCTCCATCCGTTGCTTCTTGTCCTGCCTTCAGTCGCTTTGGAGAATAGCTTGACTCCCTCTTCTGTGGGGCAGCCCCTGAGAGATTGGAAGATTGCTATCATGTCACCCTAGTCTGATAAGCATCAGCCAGTTGCCAAGTGCCCAAAATGTGGTCACATGATCATGGGGGGGCGGGGGAAACAGGCCTTTGTAACTTCAGATTTGGATCATAAGTATAGGTAGTTCTTGACTTTGTCCCAAAGATGCTTTTTCAGGAGGCAACTGGACTTTCTTTTTTCTCTTTGAAGACATTTTGCTTCTCTTCCAAGAAGCTTCTTCAGCTCTGACTGGATGGTGGGGAATGGAAGGATTTATACTCCTTGCAGAGAGCTGGTCATTTGCCTTCTTTTAGAGAGTCACTGAGGCCACCTGGAGGTTTATCTGTGTCCTCGGGGGTCACCTGAGTGGGTGTGGAGCCTTCTTGGAGCTGCTGAAAGGATTTGTGTTGTAGACTGGAGAGAGGTGGTGCCCTATCCCTCCCCCTCTGTTGAGAGAGGGCTGTTCAGTTGTGACCTAGACGGCCTCTTCCTCCCCTCTTTCAAACCAGCGGTCCTCTCTGTCCAGAATGTGGACTTTCCTGTCCTTGAAAGAGCGGCCTTTCCCCTTCAAATGCGGACGGACGGCTGGTCCTGGTGGGCTTCTTCTCCCGTGATGTGCCATTGCGTTCCTGAAGTCTCTGAGATGAGATCCAGCAGGGGCCGTCCCAGACGAGGGGATCCTCTGCCTTAAGTGGCTGGCCAGGAGGATGGAGGAACTGAAGCAAACAGATCTTCCCAGCTACGTTCAGGTGGAAGATCAGCCGGGCGGTTTTTAAGAAGAGATGGACAACCATTTGTCCGGAATGGTTCAGGGTCTCCCATTTGAGCAGGGAGTTGCACTAGAACAGGGGTCTCCAACCTTGGCCACTTTACGACTTGTGGACTTCAACTCCCAGAATTCCTCAGCCAGCATGGCTGGCTGAGGAATTCTGGGACTTGAAGTCCACAAGTCGTAAAGTGGCTAAGGTTGGAGACCCTTGCACTAGAAGACCTTCAAGGTCCCTTCCAACTCTGTTACTCTGTTAATTGGGAGATGGGGGGAAGCAGAACAAGGGGCCTGGCCTGCCCACCCACCCAGGGCCAACTGGAGATGCTCAAGGGCTATCAAAGCGTCCAGCCCCCCCCCCCCAAGGTTTGAGGACAGAACAAACCCTCTGCTAATGGAGCAGATGCCCTGGACAGGCAGAAGACCACCGGTGGGCCTGAGGATTCCACACCAGCCAGCCAAATGGGGAAAACTCAGCTCCCTCCCCCACCCCAAGGGCAACTCCTCATTTACCTCTGTGGCAGCTGGGCCCCTAATAGTGCCGGGTCCGCACCAGCACAGCCTAACTGGGTAGACATGGCAAATTTCGGGGGACCCAGAACCAAACCCCTTTTGAAAACTCCTCCCACTCTTCTGGGGTCACCTGCCCCTCCCTCTACAAAATTAGGAATGGGGGCCGAGGGGCACAGAGTGGCAAGGGTAGCCAGAAGCTCCCAGTTGTAATTCCATCAGCCCCGTTTTTCCCTGTCGACTGGACAGAAACTGCTGCCCCTGGATCGGGCTCTGCTGACAGGGGNAGAACCAAACCCCTTTTGAAAACTCCTCCCACTCTTCTGGGGTCACCTGCCCCTCCCTCTACAAAATTAGGAATGGGGGCCGAGGGGCACAGAGTGGCAAGGGTAGCCAGAAGCTCCCAGTTGTAATTCCATCAGCCCCGTTTTTCCCTGTCGACTGGACAGAAACTGCTGCCCCTGGATCGGGCTCTGCTGACAGGGGGAGGTGCCTTTTTCTTGGGCCCAACCCTTTGGGGCCTCAGGGGGCAGAGCAGGCTAATCTGTAGGGCAGGTATCCAAAACGGGCCGCTACGAGCCACAGGATCCCTGGGAGAAGTTAGCTCAGACCTGCCAGAGTTGGCCCAACTTTACTTTCCAGGGAAGGCAGAACGAGGCTCTTTTCTGACACCCAGCCTGCTGCCAATCGACAGAGGTGGGCACCAAGAGCAGTGACTTGCAGGACCCGGGCACCATGGCTGACCCAGGGGCAAGGCATTTCTTAAACAAGAAGCAGAGATGGCTTCCACATTAAAACAAAATATTTTTATTCTCCCATTACTGCTAAACACACTGCCCTCCCCTCGCCATCCATGCCCAGCTGCTTGCTGCCAGGGCAGTGCTGGCAAAGCCACGGGAGGCCACCTCTCTGGCGTTACAGCTTACAGACGGGCAGAGGCTTGACCAGGCAGCTCTCAATGTACTCGAAGACGGTGTAGGGGTCTTGGTCTGCGTTGAGACAAATCGAGTCCTCGTAATGCTCCTCCAGCTCAGCCAGCCTGTGGCTGTAGATGTCCGTCTTCCGCTCCACTTGGAGGGGGTCATCCTTGGGGTGCCTGCGCAAGCGCTGGTGGACCTCCTCCTCCACAGGCGGCTTGTAGATGGTGTGGTATCTCTCTCCGGTGACGGGGTCAGTGGCACGCTGGCAGATGCGCTGCAGCCCTACCTCGGTGGGCAGGTTGAGGAAGAAGACTCGGTTGGGCTCAACGCCAATCTGCGGGAAGAGGAGCGCCTGGTCCACGTCACGAGGGAAGCCGTGGAGCACCCAGCCGTAGGTGCGGCAGTCGTCCTGTTCCAGACGCTCCTTGAGGACGTGCAGAGCGATGTTGTCTTTCACAGGGCACCCCATTTCGAAAAAAGGCTTGATGAATTCGCCCACGCCTGTGTTCCCAGCCACTTTCTCCCGCAGGAGGTCCCCAAAGAAAATGTTGACCACCCCGTATTTCTGGGACAGCAGAGCTGCCTGCAGGCTTTTGCCACTGCCCGGGGGGCCCAGGAGCAGGATGCGGGGAGTGAAGGGGGCACTGGACCGTGGACGACTCTGCACAAAATTGAGCGCCTGGGCAAAGACATCAACGCAAGGCTGGTCGGCGTTGATAGCCTTGTAGCAATCCTGGTATGTCTGGACAATGCCGGGCATGTTGCGGTGGTTTTCCAAAAGCCGCCGAGCGGTGGCTTGCTCGGAGGTGTCTTCCGGCTTTACCAAGCGCTTCTGCACGGTGAAGTCAACCGGCCAGTCAAAGGTGGTGTGGTACACCTCCTGGGTGAGAGGGTCCACACGCTTCCCCAGGTTCCTCTCGATCAGCACCGTGTCCGGGGCATAAAGGACCACAAGGTGCCGAGGGAGGACACCCAGGGTCTGGAGCTCCAGGGCCTGGTTCCTGGTCTGGGGGAAGCCATCCACCACCCACCCCAAGGTCTCACAGTCCACGTCGCTCAAGCGTTCCTGCAGGAGAGAAGCCCACAGCTCATCAGGGATCTTCTCCCCACGTGTTTGATAGCCCTCGGCCTCCTTGGCCTTCTTCAGCAGCTTGATGTGCACGAGCTCCTTGGGGCAAAGATATGTTGCACTGAGGTGCTTACAAATCCAGCGGGCGATGGTAGTCTTCCCAGAGGCCGGGGGCCCCACAATGAAGACCCTGGGCACCTCTTCATTGTTCTTCTTGAGGTGTTCTATCATGAAGTCAATGGGTTTGGCCGGCCGGGCCACAAGGAGAGCTTCCATCAGGCCCTGCATGATGTGGAAGATGTTGTGCTTTTCGGCATAGATTCCCATCTCTGGGGGGATCTGGTGAGGCTTGCTTGTAGCATCCATCTCTGAATGTTGGAGACTGCCCAGTAAAGTGGGTTCTTAAACAGACTTTGCATTCCAAGGTTGCCAGGTGCTTCTGATGATGGAAGCAGCCCATGGAACCTTCAGCCACATCTGTCCAGTTGAGTCAGAGAACTCCCCCCCATGGGAGTGGCCCCCCCAAGAGAGTCCAGGGAACTTGAGGGAGAAGAGGCCAGAGCATGGACAATCCTGCTCAGCCGCAAATATTCCGGTTTGCCTCGTCCCTCCGCATTTTTCACTTTTGCTTCCTGGAACTCAAGACGTCCCTGTTCTCTCCGAGACACATGAGACAAACGCCCGGCTCGAGGGATGCTCTCCTCCCCTTGGAGCAGCCAAGTAGGGGCTGCCATCCTCCATCAGGCTGCTCACGAGACAGCTCCTGCCTGCAGTGACAGGGTTGCAGGTGGCACTCACTCCTCTGCCAGCTCTGGGCACCTGAGGTGGCCTGTTTTGAAGTTGATGCCCCTTGACACCCTTCGCCCAGGATGAGCAGGGCTCTAGTGGAGTTCAGGAGAAGGGTAGCTGCTTCCCTCGGTGGGTGAGGGCCTGAAGAGGACGTGTGCCCGCCTGTCTGTTAGGACGCTGCATGCCAGGTGGAGCCTCACTTGGTATGTCCTTGGACCGGATTATTTTCATGGGTTGTGGGTTCTCTTATCGCTCCCTGCCCAGAGTTATGTGCTTAAGATGGGCAGCTGAATCTACTGTACGTTCTACATAAACAATCAGAGATTCTTTTAAATTGTTCCCCCGGCTCCATGATGGAACCAGGGAGGAATGTTTGAGGGTAACGGGCAAAGGGCGAGACAGGCATTGGAAAGCAGCCAGCCAAAGAGCCGGTCTTGCCCGCTAGGCCTTCTGGTGACCAGAGACGCTGAGGCTGACGCTGATGCAGAAGAGGCTTTGGATGGCGGTTCCTGCAGGCCGGACAGCCCCACCCCTCTCCCCTCTTCTATCCCTCTTTCTCCTCCCTGCATTGGACTCCCTGCTTTCATGCACACCCAGGCACAACCCATCCCACTCTAGCGTTGTTGTTGCATGGAAGGACCGCAACAATTAGGGGCACGCACACCCCCAGATCCCACATCCTCCATGCTTGAGAATTCAGATCCAACATTCTGAAGCTTTCAAGCGGATTCTGCTCTCACCTGGAGGCTCCCGGGAATTTCTGTCCCGCTCAAACATCCTGAGGAAATTCCTGCATGGTGAGCAGCCCCCCCCCCGCAGCCCCCTCCCACAACTACAGGGGTGCAAAGCAACTGAGGGGGCAGGTAATCTAGGTGCATTTGCTTCGCTACCAGAAATCCCAGCAAAATCCTCCTCCAATTGTTCTCGGAAATGGAAAAAAGCGCGAAGGGACATTTTATCATGTAAGGTGGAGTGATGAAAAAGCAGTGAGGATTCAGAGTTTTAAAAACTGATAAGTAGAATTTTGCTTACTAGGACCTATGGATAGTCAGTCAGGAGAGGCCCCTGGATGCAGTCAAGTTAATATACACACAAAGACAGAAGAAGGCAAAAATACACACAATGGAGGAATGGAGGGTGAAGAACTTGCAGAAATGGCTAAATTCACCTCTTTTTTTATTTTTATAACAGATCAGAACACTTTAAAGGACTTTTTGCTGAAAATGGGTAAAAATGAACGGGCGATTTGTGGAATTGCCGATTAATAAAGGGGAGAAGGAACCCCATTATTAATTCAGAAGGGAGGAAGCAGCTTTAAGCATGTAACTGCTGTAGAGCAGGTCGGAAGTTCCTTCTTTAAGGTTTAATTTTCCCTTTGGTCTCCATTGTTTGTTAACTTTATTTATTTCATCTTTTAACTTTGCAAAAAAAAATGCTTTAATACAAATTCTTTTTTAAAATCTCAGCAAATCTGAGGGCTCTTCGTAGTCACTGCTAAACCACTTTTCTTGGGAAAAGTGACAAGGAGACATCCAAGGCCTGGTTTCCAGACCAAGGAAGGTTTCCGGGGGACCCCCGAGGGACCCCTGGAGGAAGACGGGCCCTGGGAGGGTGGCCCAGAGGACTTTGGCTGCTCCAACATCCAAATCCAGAGAAACATTCAAGGAGGAGACCAATCTCTCTGCCATCTCTGGCTCCCTCTCCCAGCCAGCTGTCCTGCTGTGTTGCTGGAGAACTTCCTTAACCAGTGCATGGCAGCCCCCCCCCCGTCCCCCCCCATCCAGGAGCCTCTTCCTTGGAGGAAGGCAAGACAGACAACCAGGAGGAGCCCCCCAAAAGGAGTGAGGGGGGGCCTAGGGCAGCCTGCCCCATTCCCCCCAGTTATACTCTTACCTGGCCCCAGGGTCCCTTCAGCAGTGGGGTGGGGGTCCTCAGATTCTTCCACGGGGCTGCCGGTGACATTCCACTCCGGGGGCTTCCACAGCTCGGGAGGAAGGGTGAATCCAAAGAGCCCTGTCGAAGGAAGGACCACCCCGTGGAAGGGATCAGCAAGGGGGCTTGGGATCCTCCCCCCAGGATGAGTTGGCCAGAGCCTCGGCCCCGCTTCTCTCTCTTCTGCCCCTCCAGCCAACATCGCCCAGGGCCTGGCGGAGCTCCAGCCATTCCTGCGGGGCCCCTCGCTGGCCACCGCAGGGCTCCCCGGCGCCGGCTCCGGACGCGCCCTGGCCCGGCCTTTCCAGGACAGGCATTAGCGCGCCCTCCCCCGCCCCCCTCCCCCCAAAGTCTTCAGCAGTACTTACCGGGGGGCCCTCCTTGGCTGGCAATCCCCAATGCGTCGGCCAGGGCAGGGAGGAGGCTGCCGGCGCCGCCGCCCAGCACCGAGCCCGGCTCCTGGCTCAGCCCGGCGCTCAGCCCGATCTCCACCTGGAACCCGAGCTCGCTGCTGTGCTCCCGTGGCCGGGCGGGGGGCGCGGAGGGCCGGGGGGCCGGAGGGGCGCGCGGAGGGGAGGAGCTCGGGCCGGCCGTGGAAGCCGGGACGGGCTCTGCAGCCTGGCCGGCGCCCGCGGAGCCCCCCTCGGCCGGGGAGTGGGCGGGGGCGTCCGGCTGGCCGCGGGGCAGGGACCCTGCGTGGGGCTGCCCCTTTCCCTGGCCGCGCACCTTCACCTGGAAGTTGAGCCCCAGGTTCAGCCGCAGGGCGGGGGCTTCGCTGTGGGTGGGCAGCAGGGTGGGGGTGGCAGGTGGGGCCGGGGAGGGGCCGGGGCTCTGCGGGTCCGGGCCGGACTCATTCTGGGCAGGGGGCAGGGGCATCGCAGGGCCCGGCGGCGGGGACAGGCACAGCAGCAGCAGCAGCGACGGCGGCAGGAATTCCCACATTGGCCTCGGTGTGAGTCTCGCCGCCGGCAGGAAGCACCTGGGGGAGGGGAGGGGAGGGGAGGGGAGGGGGGGAGAGTCAGGCGGACTGCGCGGGAACCTCCCCCTTTTGCTCCTGGGAAGGTTCCCCCCAAGCCCCACCGGCTTCAGACGGAGCAAGGATTGTCCCCAGGACCCCAGCCAGGGAGGAAAGAGTTAACTCCTCTTCGGCCCCGGTTGCCTCCTCGCACGTGCACCCCACACCTTCACGCACAATTGAAAAACATGCAGGTCAAACGGAAAACCAGCCGAGCCCCGAAGGAGACGTAATATAAAAGTTAACCTGCTCAGCACAATGGGAATCCCCACAACTGATCCCCCTCCCGGGGGGGGGCAAGGAGGGACGGACAGACGGAGGAGCCTGTCTGGCAGCCACCCCCACAAGGAGGGCGCTGCAGAGGCCTCCTTCCCTGGCCGGCCACGGGCAAGGGGGATGGAACCAGGACACGAACTGGGGCTGTGGAGGAGGCGAGGCAGCGGGCAAGCGGGGGGGGGGGGGGGAGATCCTGCATGTAGGGCCTCGGCACACAGGCAACAGAGCAGCCGCTCCCAGGCCAGAACTGATGTGTGGCCACCACCCTACAGGCAGAGCAGCAAGTGGACGTTCCCCGCCTCCAATTTCTGGCACTCTTAAGCAGTTGCACACCTGTCGACTGAAGCACCTCAAGCTGAGCCACTTTGGGCTGACCAGACCCCCTAGTCGCCCCCTTGCCCCCACTCTAGGAGGAAGGGAGGGAGGGAGGGAGGGAGGGAGGGTGTCCACCCCGACGCCTGGCCGCTCTCAACTGGCCAGAGAAACCTTCTACATCTAGAGCAAGGGGCTCTGTGGGGCAGGCCCCCAGCCACCCCCAGCCCTGGAGGACCCAAGGGAGCCATCAGAGGAGACCCTGCAAGCCCAAGGGGGACGCAGCCCCGGTGGGAGAAGCGTGACAAGCAGACAGGCAGAGGGAGGCAGGCGAGGTGGCACTCCAGTGTCCAGGGAGGCCCCACCAGCAAGTGGAGACGAGGCGTGAATTCACCCTCAGCCTGGCAGGTGCCCTCCCCGCTGGATGGAGCCGGTTTATGGCAGCATTTCCCAACCAGGCTGAGGTGAGCTGGGAGGGGGAAGAAGGCCCACCAAGGGGGTCCAGACCAACCCCCTCGGCCTGCCTAGGCCTGGGTCAGAGCGGCCGGCCGGGGGCTTCGGGGCTTTGCTGGCTAGACCAGAGGAACTGAGCGTCATGCCAGTCTGGAAAAGGCCGCAAGGGGGAGTGCCAGCCTCCGGCCTCCCACAGGTGGGTCCCCGGGGATCCCTCTCGGGCCCTTCCTGGAGAGCCCCAGCCTGGATGACGGCCAGCAGCGCCTTTAAGAACGAGGCACCCACATCCTTTGGGGCAGAGAGGGACCCTCTGCCAGGCTGCGGCGGTCCTTGACTTACAAAACTAGGGTGGACCTGACCTAGGGTGGATTTTATACTGGGTTTTTTAGGAATTTGGAAGACACAACATTAAAATTTGGTTTAATTCGGTTTTAAGGGGGGGATTGTATACATGTTTTGGTTTTAAATATGTTGTGCGCCGCCCTGAGTCCCGCCGGGAGAAGGGCGGCATATAAATTAAATTAAATAAATAAATAAATAAAATAAAACTGCATTTAGTGACCAAAGTTACAGCCGCACTGAAAAAAAG